TTATCATTTGTGGGAGGCCATCATCGAAGTCTGGGAGACCAACCAAAGTGGCAAAGTCTGAAAAAAAAAAGCAAAGTATCAAAATCAATTGCATGAAAAATAAAATTAAAGTCTTCAATTTAGGAACTTACAATGATCAGAGCGATTGAAGTCTGCAAAGTCTTCAAAGTCTGCAAAGTCTTCAAAGTCTTCAAAGTCTGCAAAGTCTGCAAAGTCTGCAAAGTCTGCAAAGTCTGCAAAGACTTCAAACACTTCAAAGTCTTCAAAGACTTCAAAGACTTCAAAGACTTCAAAGACTTCAAAGACTTCAAAGACTTCAAAGTCTTCAAAGTCTTCAAAGACTTCAAGACTTCAAAGACTTCAAAGACTTCAAAGTCTTCAAAGTCTTCAAAGTCTTCAAAGACTTCAAAGTCTTCAAAGTCTTTCAAAGTTCAAAGACTTCAAAGACTTCAAAGACTTCAAAGACTTCAAAGTCTTCAAAGACTTCAAAGTCTGGGGGACCATCAAAGTGTCCAAGTCTGGAAGAAAAAACAAACATAAGTATCAAAATCAATTGCATGAAAAATAAATTAAAGTCTTAAATTCAGGAACTTACAATGATCAGAGCGATTGAAGTCTGCAAAGTCTGCAAAGTCTTCAAGTCTTCAAAGTCTTCAAAGTCTTCAAAGTCTTCAAAGTCTTCAAAGTCTTCAAAGTCTGCAAAGTCTTCAAAGTCTTCAAAGTCTTCAAAGACTTCAAAGTCTTCAAAGTCTTCAAAGTCTTCAAAGACTTCAAAGACTTCAAAGACTTCAAAGACTTCAAAGACTTCAAAGTCTTCAAAGACTTCAAAGTCTTCAAAGACTTCAAAGACTTCAAAGACTTCAAAGACTTCAAAGACTTCAAAGACTTCAAAGTCTTCAAAGACTTCAAAGTCTTCAAAGTCTTCAAAGTCTTCAAAGACTTCAAAGACTTCAAAGACTTCAAAGACTTCAAAGTCTTCAAAGACTTCAAAGTCTGGGGGACCATCCAAAGTGTCCAAGTCTGGAAGAAAAAACAAACATAAGTATCAAAATCAATTGCATGAAAAATAAAATTAAAGTCTTAAATTCAGGAACTTACAATGATCAGAGCGATTGAAGTCTGCAAAGTCTGCAAAGTCTTCAAAGTCTTCAAAGTCTTCAAAGTCTTCAAAGTCTTCAAAGTCTTCAAAGACTTCAAAGACTTCAAAGTCTTCAAAGTCTTCAAAGTCTTCAAAGTCTTCAAAGTCTTCAAAGACTTCAAAGACTTCAAAGACTTCAAAGTCTTCAAAGTCTTCAAAGACTTCAAAGTCTTCAAAGACTTCAAAGACTTCAAAGACTTCAAAGTCTTCAAAGACTTCAAAGTCTGGGGGACCATCCAAAGTGTCCAAGTCTGGAAGAAAAAACAAACATAAGTATCAAAATCAATTGCATGAAAAATAAAATTAAAGTCTTAAATTCAGGAACTTACAATGATCAGAGCGATTGAAGTCTGCAAAGTCTGCAAAGTCTTCAAAGTCTGCAAAGTCTGCAAAGTCTTCAAAGTCTTCAAAGTCTTCAAAGTCTTCAAAGACTTCAAAGACTTCAAAGTCTTCAAAGTCTTCAAAGACTTCAAAGACTTCAAAGTCTTCAAAGACTTCAAAGACTTCAAAGACTTCAAAGTCTTCAAAGTCTTCAAAGTCTTCAAAGTCTTCAAAGTCTTCAAAGACTTCAAAGACTTCAAAGTCTTCAAAGACTTCAAAGACTTCAAAGACTTCAAAGTCTTCAAAGACTTCAAAGACTTCAAAGTCTTCAAAGTCTTCAAAGACTTCAAAGTCTTCAAAGACTTCAAAGACTTCAAAGACTTCAAAGACTTCAAAGACTTCAAAGACTTCAAAGTCTGGGGGACCATCCAAAGTGTCAAAGTCTGAAACAAAAAAACAAACATAAGTATCGAAATCAATTGCATGAAAAATAAAATTAAAGTCTTAATTTTTGGAACTTACAATTTCAAACACAGACTTTGTTACCGATGATGTCCTTCCAAAGATTTTCCAGACTTGCCAAATCAAGCTTAGCTGACTACTTGCTGCACTCGAAATTCTAAGTTCCAAAAATGAAGACTTACAATTTCGAACACAGCAAATAGTCAGCGAATCTTGATTTGGCCAAGTCTTGAAAATCTTGCATTTGTGAAAGAACATTATCGGCAGCAAAATTTCAAAGTCTGGAAGAAAAAAACAAACACAAGTATCAAATCAATTTCAAGGGGAATAAAATTAAAGTCTTCATTTTTGGAACTTTAATTTCATTCTCCATGACATTGGTTTCGATACTTATCTTTATTTTTTCTTCCAGACTTTGAAATTTTGCTGCCGATAATGTTCTTCCACAAATGCAAGATTTCCAAGACTTGCCAAATCAAGATTCGCTATTTGCTGTGTTTGAAATTGTAAGTCTTCATTTTTGAACTTACAATTTCGAGTGCAACAAATAGTCAGCGAAGCTTGATTTGCCAAGTCTGGATCATTCGTGGAAGACATCATCAGCATCAAAGTCTGGGAGACCATCCGAGGTGTCAAAGTCTGCAAGACCAACCAAAGTGCCAAAGTCTGGAAAAAAAAGCAAAGTATTAAAATCAATTGCATGGAAAATAAAATTAAAGTCTCAATTTTAAAAACTTACGTTTAAGCAGAAAATAGTCAGCGAAGCTTGATTTGGCAAATCTTGCATTTGTGCTAGATCATCGGCATCAAAGTCTTGAAGACCATCCAAAGTGACAAAGTCTGGAAGAAAAAACAAAGTATCCAAATCATTTACATAAGGAATAAAATTAAAGTCTCAATTTTATAAACTTACATTTAATCAGGCCGATTGAAGCGAGTGGAAGACATCATCGACATCAAAGTCCAGAATGGCAAAGTCTGGAAAAAAAATCATAAGTATCAAAATCTATTGATTGCATGAAAAATAAAATCAAAGTGTGATTTTCAGAAACTTACAATTATCAGGTCGATTGAAGCGAATACAGTCTGCAAAGTCTTGCCAAGTCTTGAAAGTCTTCATCATTTGTGGAGCCAAAGTCTTATCGGCAGCAAAGTCTGGAAGACCATCCAAAGCGTCAAAGTCTGGAAGAAAAAACAAAGTATCAAAATCAATTGCATGGAAAATTAAATTAAAGTCTTCAATTTAGAAACTTTAATTTTATTCTCCATGAAATTGATTTCGATACTTTGTTTTTTCTTACAGACTTTGATACTTTGGATGATCTCTAAGACTTGGCTGCCGATGATAAGACTTTGCTCCAGAAATGATGGAGACTTTCAAGACTTGGCAAGACTTTGCAGACTGCATTCGCTTCGATCAACCTGATCATTGTAAGTTTCTGAAAATCACACTTTGATTTTATTTTTCATGCAATCAATAGATTTTGATACTTATGATTTTTTTTCTAGACTTTCATGCCATTCTGGACTTTGATGTCGATGATGTCTTCCACTCGCTTCAATCGACCTGATTAAATGCAAGTTTATAAAATTGAGACTTTAATTTTATTCCTCCTTATGCAAATGATTTTGATACTTTGTTTTTTCTTCCAGACTTTGACACTTTGGCTGCCGATAATGTTCTTCTTCCACAAATGCAATCCAGACTTATCAAATCTTGCTTTGCTGGCTATTTGCTGCGTTCAAAATTGTAAGTCTCAAATTTAGGAACTTACAATTTCGAACACAGCAAATAGTCAGCGAAGCTTGATTTGCCAAGTCTTGAAAATCTTGCATTTGTGAAAGAACATCATCGGCAGCAAGGTCTGGAAGACGATGCAAGTATCCAAGTCTCAATCCATCAATCTGTAAAAAAAACAAAAACATAAGTATCAAAATCATTGCATGAAAATAAAATTAAAGTCTCAATTTTAAACACTACATTTAATCGGGTCGGTTGGAAAAAACGCAGCAATCAGTCAGCGAAGCTTGAATTGGCAAATCTGGATCATTTTGTGGAAGACATCATCGGCATCAAAGTCTCAGAGACCATCCAAAGTGCCAAAGTCTGGAAGAAAAAACAAACATAAGTATCAGAAACAATAAAATTAAAGTCTTATTTCTAAAGACTTGAAATACCAAATGTATTTCATCACAAAGTCTTTGTTAATTCATTAACATCGACTTTGCATCGAAATACACTTTGTATTTCATCACAAAGTCTTTGTTAATTCATTAACATCGACTTTGCATCGAAATACAAAGTGTATTTCATCACAAAGTCTTTGTTAATTCATTAACATCGACTTTGCATCGAAATACAAAGTGTATTTCATCACAAAGTCTTTGTTCATTCATTAACATCGACTTTGCATCGAAATACAAAGTGTATTTCATCACAAAGTCTTTGTTAATTCATTAACATCGACTTTGCATCGAAATACAAAGTGTATTTCAACACAAAGTCTTTGTTAATTCATTAACATCGACTTTGCATCGAAATACACTTTGTATTCATCACAAAGTCTTTGTTAATTCATTAACATCGACTTTGCATCGAAATACAAAGTGTATTTCATCACAAAGTCTTGTTAATTCATTAACATCGACTTTGCATCGAAATACAAAGTGTATTTCATCGCAAAGTCTTTGTTAATTCATTAACATCGACTTTGCATCGAAATACAAAGTGTATTTCATCACAAAGTCTTTTGTTAATTCATTAACATCGACTTTTGCATCGAAATACAAAGTGTATTTCAAAACAAAGTCTTTGTTAATTCATTAACATCGACTTTGCATCGAAATACAAAGTGTATTTCAACACAAAGTCTTTGGTAATTCATTAACATCGACTTTGCATTGAAATACAAAGTGTATTTCACACAAAGTCCTTGTTCATTAATCAACATGATTAATTAACAAAGACTTTGCATTGAAATACCAAGTGTATTTCATCGCAAAGTCTTTGTTGATTAATCAGTTAATTAATCAACATGGACTTTTTAATACTTTAAAATATTATTAATAAAACACTTACTTTGCGGAGATGCTCGCAGCCACTTTCCCCTCTTTGTTCGCACAATTCTTCAATGCCATCAAAGTATGACCAATGCATGCAGCTACTGAAAATAAAAACAATTTATTAGTTAAATACAATCAAATATTTTTTAACTTACTACGATCAAATCAAAAATTTGTAAAGTTAATTCGAAAGCTATTCATTTTATTGAAATCATTCATTAAGTTCAATTATTTATTCAGAACAAAGTTTATTCACTTTAAAACTAAACTTTATTTTAAACAATATATTAGCTAAATATTTTTAAAGTCAAAACAAATTGTTCATTAATTCGAAAAGTCTTGAACAAACAAAGTTTATTCACTTTAAACTAAAGTTTATTTTATACAAGTCAAATATTTTATACAATCAGTTTATTTTATACAATAAGTTTATTCTATACAATATTATCAAGTTAATTCGAAAAGTCTTAATGAATGATTACAATCAACTTAAAATTATTTAATTATTATTTTAATTATTTATTTCAAACAAACTTTATTTACTTTAGAACAAAACTTTATTTTTTACAAGTCTATTCATTAATAAGTACTAATAAAAATATAAATACTTACATTTAATAATCGCTGCAAACAATCCACAATTTCTTCAAACACCATCCAAGTGACAGTGGCTCGGGGTGGATCGTCATCATTCTTGAGCACCATCATCAGTAATAGCATTCTTGGGCAATGGCAAGTTGGGATAGTACTCATCAAAGACACTGAAAATAAAAAATACATTTATTAGTTAAACAGTCTTCATTTATTTCATTATTTTTTTTTTTAAGTTAAATACATTTTAGTAAACAAATTAACAAGTCTTGATCTATAATTTTTTTTTAATTTATTAAAAACTAAAGATATTTAATTGACACCAGCTATTACAATTCATTAGTTAAGTATTCTTTAAGTAAAAAAAAATTCCTAAGTTGATTCGAAAGTCTTCATTAATGAATGATTACAATCAAACTACAATCAAATAACAAATTTATAAAGTTAATTCGAAAGCTATTAATTAAATTGGAATCATTAATCATTAAGTTCAATTATTTATTTGAAACAAAGTTTATTCACTTTAAAACTAAAGTTATTTATACAAGTCAAATATTTTATACAATCAGTTTATTTTATACAACATTGTCAAGTTTATTCGAAAAGTCTTAATTAATTAATTATTACAATCAAATTAAGTTATTTGAATTATTTATTAATTATTAAATTAAATTAATTATTTATTCAAACAAAGTTTATTCACTTTAACACAAAAGTTTATTTTATACAAGTCTATTTATTATAAGTACTAATAAAAATATAAATACTTACATTTCTTCAAACGCCATCCAAGTGACAGTGGCTCGGGGTGGACCGTCATCATTCTTAAGCACCATCATCAGTAATAGCATTCTTGGGCAGTGGCAAGTGGGTAGTACTCATCAAAGGTACTGAAAATGAAAAAATACATTTATTAGTTAAACAGCCTCAATCTATTTCATGGAATATAATAATAAGAAATTATCAAGTCGTATAATTATATTTTTTTATTCCAATAAAAAAAGGATGTTTCATTTACATCGACTATTACAACTATTACAACTATTACATTCAAAACAAAGTCTATTGAATTAAAACAATCAGTGAAATTATAATCAAAACATTTTATTCAAACAATCTTTTCTTTCAAAATTAAATACATTAACAAAGTCTAAAGTGTAAATAAAATGTTAAGTCATTAACTTTAAATTATAATGCAGTATATTTTTTTTTATTTCAATTAATAACAAAAGATATTTAATTAAAACTAATCTATTATAAACTACAACTATTAAATTCTAAACAAAGTCTATTAAATTCAAACAAGTCATTTTAAATCAATTTAAGGGGGTAGTGTAGAAATTCATAAATCGTTTTTATTTTTATTTTTGGAGATATAGGCATTTTACTGACTCGGTCTCTATACTGGTTTGGCTTCACACAAACTTTAACATTTTTTCAGATAGTCTTCTAAGACTAACTATCTATAAGTTTCTCAGAACTTACTTTTTTAATACTCTTGTCACGATTTCTGAAGTTCTACTCGACCAATTTATTTGAAATTTTCAGATAGTCTTCTTTATAGATCTATCTATAGTCTGAGCTAGAATCATCCCGAAATTCCTATTTTTACTATTTTTAAAACATTCGAGAAACTCAAAAAAATAACTTTTTTTTTCAAACAGTCGCCAATTTGTGAAAACATATTTTTTTTTTACTTATTGTTAGTTCAACCAATTGCGACATCATTGTAAATTAATAATCTTTTCATTCTTTACATTTTCCATGGCTAGGAAGGCTGAAATCATGTCAAGACTGACATGCCAATTTTTTGAGACCATACACTTCATCAGTTGCCAGTTTTTACAATTTTAATAAACAAGACGTAAATTCAATTAAACAATTTCTTTATTTCAAATTCAAAGTGTATTAAATTTTAAACATAATATATATTCATTGTCGATACTTTTTCATTTTTTTATTTTTGTTTTAATCTTAATAATATTAATAAACAAATGGTAAAAAAAATAGATAGTGAAAAAATTCATTGCTTTCTTTTATAACAATTTAAAAATTACCTAAAATTCATAACTCTACACTAAAATACCCCCTTAAACCAAAGGTTTTTTTTATTAAAAAATTTATTGATTAACAAATCAAAGTTTAAAGTATAAATAAAACACTTACTTTTTATCGTTGCTCGCAATACATGATTGGCATACTTAGAGAGCATCAGTTGTGGCATTTTTGGACAGTACGTTGTCATCATTGCAAGCACTGAAAATAAAAAACGTTTATTAGATAAACAGTCTCACTTTATTTTATATATTTTTTAAGAAAATTCCTTTTAAATTTTTCAAATAACAAGTCATTAAGTCTGTTAGAAATCAACAAATATAATTCAATTCTTTTATTCCATTAACAAAAACAATATTAATTAAACTACAAATATTACATTCAAAACATAATTTATTTAATTAATACAAGTCATTTAATTTCAATCAAAACATTTATTAGCAAAATCTTTTGTCAGAAATGAATTCAACAAAAGCAAAGTATTTTAAACTAAAGACAAATTTCAGTAATTTAAAAATAAAGTATATTAAATTATAAACTCAATATATGAAGTTAAACATTGTGTTTAATAATGAACAAAGCTCATTTAATAAAGTAACTAATTTTATTGAATAATAAACCAAGTTTAAAGTGTCAATCAAATGCTTTTATTATTAATTAAAAGCAACATTAGTAGGTACAATTTCATAAAATATTTCATTTTACACTATCACTATTGCAAATGCAAAGTTTTAAATATTTACATATAAAATTAAGTACATTTCAAATGTTTTTTTAATCGAATATTATCTGTAAATTTTAAGCAAAATTTATTACATTCAGTGAACAAAATGCATTCAATTAAAAATTATTTATATTTCATAATGAACCATATTCATATTTGACAAAAAAAACTTGATTTCGAATTCAAAGTGTAAAGTAGAGAAAAAAACACTTACATTTTCAGTTGTTCTTGCACCATTCGCTCAACGCAACGTCAATTTTTGGGCTCCAAAAAGCATCTATCTTCACCTTACATTCTTTTGTTGTCTTGCTCAACAATGATTCTTTGGCAGCATCATCATTTCCACTGCTGAAAATTAAAAAAAAAAGTCATTAGTACAATTTTATATTAAATTCTTAATACATTTATTGCTATGTGATTGCTTTTATATTATGATTTTAATATTTTGTGTAACTAAGGGGAAAAATTATTATATGTTGAATTGTAAACTAATTGCATTAAATTATAAACATATGTACATTAATTAAACATTTAATCGACGATTAATGACTAAGACTATTAAGTAAAATTACAAAATATGTTTCACAATTATTTTATATCAAAAATGCTATAAAAGATAAAGACTTATTTTATTGAATAATAAGCAAAGTTACAATGAAAAGCTTACATTATTTTGTTGCTTCATCGGAAATAAAAACAACCAAGTTAATATGATCCCATATGAAATTTTCATTAATGCTATTACTTGTAAATGACAATTCAAATATTTGCATGTAAAAATATTGAATTGTAAACAAAGTGCATTAAATTAAAAACAACATGTAAATTTAATTAAACAATATCTTTATTTCAAATTCAAAGTGTATTAAATTTTAAACATAATATATATTCATTGTCGATCAATGTATTTGACTGATTTCTTCAAATTACCTTATATTTTGCCCGGTTGCAAAATCCTCAGGCACACGATGGCATTTTTGTCTTTTGATTTCCATTATTAGCATCAATCCCTCACAATGACTCGATGGAGAAGGCACATCAACTCTTTTGGGGCACCGAAAAGCATCTTCATCGCTTACATTCTTTTGTGGGTCTTGCTCCAACATTGATTCTTTGGCAGCATCATCATTGCCATTGCTGAAAATTAAAAAAAAAATACATTAGTACAATTTTATATAAAACTTTGAATACAGTTTTTAAAAGCATAGATATGTGATTGCTTTTAAATTATTATTTAAATATTTGTGTATAACTCAGGAAAAACTATTTCAAATGTTTTTTAAAATGGATTATAATTAATTTTAAGCTAAATATATTAATTGTAAACAAAGGGCATTAAATTAAAAACAAATGTACATTTAATTAAACAATATCTTTATTTCAAATTCAAAGTGTATTACATTTTAAACATAATATATATTCATTGTCGATCAATGTATTTGACTGATTTCTTCAAATTACCTTATATTTTGCCCGTTTGCAAAATCCTCAGGCACACGACGGCATTTTTGTCTTTTGATTTCCATTATTAGCATCAATCCCTCACAATGACTCGATGGGGAAGGCACATCAACTCTTTTGGGGCACCAAAAAGCATCTTCATCGCTTACATTCTTTTGTGGGTCTTGCTCAACAATGATTTGATTTCCATTATTAGCATCAATCCCTCACAATGACTCGATGGAGAAGGCACATCGACTCTGCTTTTTGGGCTATCGAAATGCATCTCATCTGCAAGAAAAAAAAAGAACATGTTAATTTGGAAATTTATTCAAATTAAACACTACAGTCTAATAATTTGATATCAAGTATTTATCATCATTTGTATTAAAAATTAAACATTACACTAGACTGAAAGAGATTTTCTCACAATGTGGCAGGAGGTTAAATTACCACATTTAACACAAAACTTGGAAATTTTACTAATTTACTAATTCCTTTCAACAGTTGATAATATTAATATGTGAAAAAAAACAACAAAGTTCGTTTTATGTATTTATTATATATTTGTCTCATTTATAAACAGCAAAATAAAAATACACCATTTCATTGAGCATTGAAGAAGTCACATTACAAAGCTACATGTACGACGCTAACGCCATCCGCATTTCAATGGATATTTCTCTTTTTAGCTAATATTTCAACCACATTTTTGAAATAATTTATTATGATATTTCAACTTTGAACAATTAAAGGACAATCATTTTATCTAATTAAACAATTAGGCTTTTCTCCTTCCAAAATTATAAACTCACAAAACTTTATAACAAAAAATTACTTATTTATAAGTGTCGAAAATTATATTTTATAACAATTACCTTTTACAGGCGCTAGGGAAGCTTCAAGGCCTGCACTGAGTCCAGAAGGCATTGCCCAAGTTGAGATGTTCCATTAACAGGGAATCATGAATCCGACTGTGGCTCACATTGCAACTACATCGACATCATCCTCATCTGGAATATTAAATAAATTGAGTTAAATTATATGTCATTTTTTTAAATCTTTTTTATTAAAAATAACTAAATCATTTAACATCTCATATTGATCAAACATTAAAAACTTGAATATAATGAATTCATTGACTGTAACAAACAATGATCTCTTTCAATTAATTTGTTATGTTTGTTTCAATTAATTTGTTATTTAAAGAGTAGAGTACATAAATCATTTTAAATATTCGAACTAAACCTACCTAATTCAATAAAAGCTGCAGCCTCTTTGGCTCAATTCTTTGGCATTGCTCTAGGATTTGTAGAGCATCATCCTTGTCATTTTCTTCAAGAATGCACATATCCCCAATATGCATGTCGGCAAGTCCATATTGTTTGATTCACTGTAGAATTTCTAGAGTATCATCCTTGTAATTTCCTTCAAGACTGCACATGTTCCACAATATGTATGTCGGCAAGTCCATATTGCCATATTGTTGAGCCCGGTAGCGCCGGCACTTGTGATTTTCCAAGTTAATTGGATTTTTGTTATAAATCCATTTGATACAATCAGCATCTCAATGTAAACGACGATTTCTTCAAATCGTGATCTTGCTACTAGTATGTCCAATAAATCTTCCTAGTCATTGGCAGAAAAATCAACTGTAAGACATGTGCGTAAAAGTCATCATATAAAATATCAGCCCATTGCAATTTCCTTCTGGAATCTAAAAAAAAAAACTGTTAAATTAATATGCACCTAAAATTCAACAACATTCACTTTTCAACTTATTCAGTTTTTACGAATAATGTTTGCCAATCACATTAGCAAACTTTTAAGTTAGTGATTTGAAATAATCAATGTGCATTCACATGTGGGCATTATTTAATTTAATTGTAAATATGTAAAACGTAGAACCAATTATATAAAAATTTGCTAGCATTATTAAAAATTGCAAATCATATAATATTGATGGTCTATTTTTTCTATCGATTATTTTGGCTTTTTTTTTTTAAATTGAAACTTGTGTCATTTAAATTCAAATTGATTCAACAGTAGACTGAGTTTGCATTCGCACTTAATAATTCTACTCAACTTGTATGATTTCATCAAATTTGTATGTATAAGCAACGTGCACATCATTCAGTGTAGGCTTGCAATTGTTTGTTTTTCATTCACATTAATTAGATTAAATATCAATTTCGTCTATATAAATATGGCTCTTCATTAAAGTATTTTAATAATACAAACACAACTATGTTTGTGATTGTAGAAAATGTTGTACATTATTAATTTTGTACAGATTTCCCAAAATATATCTTATTGAAATAATTGACATCATTTATATAATGCAATAAGCTCATATGTAAAATTATGTTTTAGTTCATTTAATATTGATTCTGAAGTAAATCGATTGCTGTTTACGACTGTTTAAAATAATTGTGTGATATATATCATATATTCGTATATTCACTTTTATTTAAAAAATTATGTGACAATTTACCAGTATGTAATGAATTTTAATAGATAAAGAAACATTATTATCATTATGAATGTTAAATTATATTAAAAACTTTACAAATCAATCTTGATTCGTCATTTCAAATATGCAGACAAACGAATATGAAATTATGAAATCGCAAATTGTATTCATTTGATTCTTCAATATTTAAATAATATAAACTTTACTCTATTGTGCACATAAAGAATCATTATGTATTTGTAATTTCCATTAAACAGTTACACCTTGCACAAGGTTTTATCTTACGAAAAGCCACAAAAGCTCATCCATATGTATTATTGATTTATGAATTTTTAACAAAATAATCATCATACTGATAAAAATAATTCAATTCCTTTAAGTTGCGTCATAACTTTTTATAATTTTCGCATTTGATCAAAAATTATTAGACTGTACAAGTCTCTATATTGGGAACAACAGATTTCCTCTGGAAATAAATAATTGATTTTTCTATTGATTTAAATTTGTCATGGGATTCCAAATGTTTCTAACTTTCCTCGAGGTCTGAAACTACACTTTGTGTTTGCATGAATTGCTTTTCTAACATGATGTACTATAAATCTAATCACATCATTCGGAATACTGCAAAAGTTTCTTCTTGTCCATATTCTCAAATACTTTTTAAATTTCACAATGAAAAATTTAGTTATACATATGAATAAAATCAAAGCTAATGAAAAAAATTATACGAAACAATTCTTATATACAACTTGTATAGTAATTTCATCCTCCTTTTGAATATTTTTGAGTCATTTACTAATATTAGCATAAAATTAATGAAATATGGTATTCAGTTGTAGATCTTGACATTTGTAGCACCTCTTATTGATAAAACATTAGAAATTTTGATTCAAACGAAGACCCTTGTAATATTTATATTATATTTGCCTTTAATATATTGTGTTGTTGCATTGTCGATTATCCACAGCAGATATATATGGGCAGATGACTCGTGTACCTAGTACCTTCTTCATTGATAAGAAACTTTAGATATTTTGATTTAAAC